GCTGCACTTGTTGATATTCAAGTACATCACGATACTTCTTGCTAATCGAGCCAGCCAATGAACGTAAAAACCGTCGTTCTAGCTGAATAAATACAAATATCATAACCCAAATTCCAATATGGACTGCAGTTCCTGAGACATATTCAACAAACCTCTTGCATTATCACTTTTCGCTTGAGATGTTTGGCATTCTGCTCTCGTTTCGTACTGGAGAGAATCTCGATTCGTAGACGATAACGCCTCCAACAGTCACTAAAAACCCAACTATGAAAATCAAGGTTCAAAGGGATAAAAGACAATATTAAGGACAATATCGAGAACAATTTGCTATTTTCGAATGGCTGAAGGATTAAACGGTTGGCACTACATTCAGTGGCCGGAGGTCGTCCTAGAGTTCATTGACGTCCTGTAAGGTTCAATCGGCGATCACCTCGTTTCAATGAATCTGAGAAAATTGGATTTTCAGAAAATGCTCCTCTTCAGTGGTGGTCAAAGGTTGAAAATACATACGTCAGCTAGTCCATCAGTTTTCCAAGTGACTGTCATTATGCTAGTTCCCCCTACAGTCATCACAAGGCGATGAAGAAACTGATCATTTATTACGAAACCCGTCAGTTGCTGGCTCACGTACCCTTCATACCAGTCACCCATAATTCCAGCTTTATCCTATCTGCGGTCTTGTTCGCTACGGATTCTGTTGCTTGCCAGGGGAAGGGGGGAGAGCTAGAGGTCAGCCGGCTCTGGCGGAGCGCCAGCCCTTTTTTCACTGTAGAAGCTGGCAGGGAGGCACAATTAGTGGAAGACACGCAAAAGCCAGCCCCTGAACCGCCACTGCATCCGTAGTAAACTCTGGAAGTGCACTGATCTCCAATATCTCAAACCAACGTTGTCGACTGCTGGTTGGAGGAGTGAAGGCAAAACTGGAAGAAACTCTGATCCAAATTTTCAACCGTTCCAAAATTCTCATAGCCTTCAGATTGATGCAAACTCCTCACATCATCAGCAAGCTGAATACGTCCTATATGTTCACCACAGTGGCAAATTAAGACCACCGGGAGACCCCATACCAACGTGCCATGCCTTATACCATCAGGGTACAGCACAATGATGTAAAATGGGGAGGCGGGGGGAGGGAATACGACACTCCCACCATCTT